GATTGGATATTAGATTCGGGTTGTCCGTTTCACATGTGTTCAGTTAAGGAACAATTTGATACGTATCAAACTTGTGATGGGGGTGCTGTGAAGATGGCAAATGGTGCACGGAGCAAAATTGCAGGGGTCGGAACAGTGCAAGTTCGCATGTTTGATGGCATGGTGAGAACATTAACTGGAGTGAAACATGTACCAGGTCTAAAAGGAAATTTGATTTCATTGGGGGCTTTAGATTCAAAAGGCTGCCGAATTTTTGCTCAAAGTGGAGTGTTAAAAATTTCAAGGGGAGCAATGGTGGTAGCAAAAGGAGTTTTGTCAAAGGGCTTGTATAAACTTGTAGGAAAAGATTTGACACGGAAGTTGTCAGAAGGAAAATTTACAAGTGCAACGAGCGGAGCATTTGCATGGAAGAAGCGGGTGACATTTGAAGCTTCTCAAGTTGGTAGAGACTGTGACCTCGCCGGAACGAGCGGGGTGGAGCCGGACCATGGTTTGATTAATTAATCAAGGTGGAGTTTGTTGGGATATTTGATTAAATAATCAAAAGAAACAAAAAAAAAAAGAAAAGAAAGAAATCAAAGGAATCAAATTGCGTGTGGATTTTTTTGATGGAAGGGAATCAAATTTTGGACTCTTGTGCTTGTGGTCATTTGCAGGAGTACTTCCCTTGGCTTTAAAAGCCATGCATGGTCTTCTTAGTAAGTATACACACGGCTAAGGAAAAAGAGGAATAGGGTGTGAAGAGAGAGGTGCTACACAAGATATCACCAATATTGTGTGAGTGAGTGTAGGGAGTAACTGGTTTTAGTTACTCGGAAAAATACATCCGGGCATAGGGTGTGAAAAGTCTGTTTATAAGTGTCTAGTATTTAGCACTTGTAAACAGGGAGAGTTTTTTGTGTATCATTCTGAAATAGTGAAGATATAATTTTTCTCTCATATATTCTTCTTGTGTTTGTTCTCTCATTTTTCTGGTGTTCTCAATATTTTTCAGTATCTTACGCGCTTAAAATCCCAACATTATCTATTAGTCATTATTCAACTAAATGTCCAGTATCACTTGGACATTATTCTTCTCACTAGTCATTATTAAGTCTTATTTAGAGAATAAAAAAGTTTAAGTCCTACATTTGAAAATGACTTATGTTTTAGTTTTATTCAGTGTAAATTTCACTATATAAAATCAGAATTTGACATATTTTGCATACATACCGACAATTTTGTCTTTGACACACATACTTATAGAGACAATCATCGCTTATACTTGTATGTGGAACACTTAGGGTTGGCTCCAAGGATTCTGCGGCCATGGCCGAAACGGAAAAAATGAGCTCTAACGTACGCCAACAAATCACATTATGCAAACTATTTTGTTTAAAATAATAATTAATATTACAGTAATACGATACAGATAACAAAATTATAATATTATAATTAAGTATCGTAAGACCTACCTTAAAATTTACATTTTGAAAATTATATATATATTGCGTTAATTATATATATATTGTAGAAAATAATAAGAGGGAAAATATTCTGTATATTCAATTGTTCTGTTTAGTTACAAGGGGTTTCTCCTTTATTTATAGGAGAGGATGATTCCAAAATAGACAAGGAATACAAATCCTACAAGGAAACAAATCATAATCAAACTAGGAAACAAATAAATCAAGATCAATCTTAATTAGAATGGGATTCGGTCATCAAAGGATTTGGACTTCTCAAGTTCGAATTTCTCGGAATTCGGACCTCTCGAAATTCGGATCTCTCGGAATCCGGATTCCTCGGAAGTCGGACTTCTCCGGATCCGGACTTCTCAGTTCCAATACCCCCCTCAAGCTGGAGCATGCGGATTCTGGATGCCCAGCTTGGACAGTAAATGAGAAAACGGAGCGGAAGCCAAAGCCTTTGTAAAGAGATCTGCCGGTTGATCATTGGTGGAGATGTGGCGAGTACACAAAACACCTCGTTGGATTTCGTCACGTACAAAGTGGCAATCAATCTCAATGTGTTTTGTACGTTCATGGAAGACCGGATTAGCGGCAATATGAAGAGCAGCCTGATTATCACAAAACAACCGCATGGGCTGTTTGTGACGCACACCAAGGGAGAAGAGAAGGGATTTCAGCCATTTGAGTTCACAAACAGTAGTTGCCATGGCCCTGTATTCGGCTTCAGCCGAAGAACGGGAAGCTACACTTTGTTTCTTTGTACGCCACGATACCGAGGAATTGCCAAGAGTGATAAAATATCCAGTAACAGAACGCCGAGTCAAGGGACACCCAGCCCAATCAGAGTCACAGAAAGCTTTAAGAGTAAGATCACTTTGTACTGGAAGAAACAAACCCTGCCCGGGACAGGCCTTGATGTACCGTAGAACGTGAGTCGCACCGTCCCAGTGTTCTTGCCGCGGCTCCCCCATGAATTGAGATAACACATGAACAGCATAAGCCAAGTCAGGACGACTGATCGTGAGATAAATGGGGCGCCCCACAAGTCTGCGATAACGCTCTGGGTTGGTGAGAAGCGGGCCACACGCTAGAGCCAGTCGTTGATTCTGAGGAAGGGGAGTGGAAGCCGGACGAGCACCCAGAAATCCAGTCTCACAAAGTATATCCAGAGCATATTTGCGCTAGCAGATGAAAATCCCTTTCGAATTTCGGGCAACCTCAACGCCCAAAAAATATTTTAAGAGACCAAGGTCCTTCATATGGAAGCAATCAGATAGATACCGTTTAAATTTGCCAATGAAGCCTTCATCATTTCCTGCGATCACAAGATCATCCACATACACCAGCACACGAAGCTCGATGGTGCCGCGCAAAAGAGTAAACAGAGAATAATCAGCCTTGGATTGATGGAACCCAAAGTGTTTTAATGCAGAGGTGAGTTTAGCAAACCAACAACGTGGAGCCTGTCGAAGACCATAGAGAGATTTATGAAGACGGCAAACCAATCCTTTACCGCGAGAGGCAAACCCGGGGGGAAGAGTCATGTTTATTTCATCACGAAGGTCTCCATGAAGAAATGCATTATGAACGTCCATCTGATGTAAGAACCAGTTCCGGGCAGCGGCAACAGCTAAGAGAGTGCGAACGGTAACCAATTTAGCTGTTGGTGCAAAAGTTTCTTTAAAATCAATTCCCTGTTTCTGACGATTGCCAAGCACTACCAAACGAGCTTTGTAGCGTTCAATGCTACCATCAGACTTGTGCTTGATTTTGTAGACCCACTTAGATCCGATTGTTTTCCTTCCTGGAGGCAAGGGGACGAGTGACCAAGTACCATTAGCTTCCAACGCCTGAATTTCTTCCTTCATAGCTTGTACCCATAGCGGATTTTTGACCGCCTCAGAAAAGAATGTAGGCTCAACATCTGCACTTATAGCTGCCAAAAAACATCTATGGGAAACAGAAAATTTGTCAGCGTTAATAAAATTTGTAATACAGTGTGCTGTACCTGAAGGTGTTGTTGGTTTGAGTGAATCAGGAGAGGGACGTTGAATGGTGTGAGTGACAAAGTCACGCAGTCGCGAAGGAGGACGACGTTCTCTTTCACTTCGGCGCAAAGTGTCTTGGGTTGGAAGGGTTTGGTTATCAAGGGCAGAAGAAGGTTGGACTGGGTCATTGGGTTGGCTGTTTGGTTCTGATGTTGCAGGGTTTTCTGGATTGGATTGGAGCAACGGTCGACCGGGGTCCTGAGAACGGTCCAGTGTTTCGACCGTCTGGGTGGCTGATTCTTCACTGCGTATTTCTTCCTCAAAAAA